TTATTTTGAAAACGAAAATGGATTTAAAGAAACAAAAATGTATTTTGAAAATGAAAACCGATTTTGAAAATGAAAACGGATTTTAAAAAAGAAATTGCATTTTAAAAATGAAAATGAATTTTAAAAATGAAAACGGATTTTAAAAATGGATTTAAAAAAACAAAATGGATTTAGACAATTGTTTTTTAAAATGAAAACAAATATCAGAAACAAAAATTTCACAACCGAAAATGGTTATTAAAAATGAATTATAAAATAAAAATGAATTGTAAAATTGGTTTTATAAAATGCCATGTTGTGAGCCACCTCGGTTGCCGTAGAAGTGGGATGGGGTGGGGTAATGCTACTCAATCAATGTCGCGTTGTGATCGAACCAACATTCTTCAAAAATGTCTTTATTGCTAGTAGATTGAAGAAAGGTTTTCAACTCACGAATGTTCTTGAATCAGAGGTAATATTGTGTACTCTTGGCTAAACTTTTTAATGAATTTATACCATGCCAAAAAATGCCCATATATATTAGATCGCAAATTCAAGTTCCCATGACGCATGCGCGTAACTTTGTGACACTGTGCATGATTCGATAAATATTCGTTACGTAAAATCTCTTCTGTTATCTCTCCGTAGGTGGCGCTGGTACTATTAAGCTTAGTGCAGTTCTTTTATTGGTATCAGTGTTATTCTCAACTCTCTGAAGTGTAAGAGGTCAGTATCAACAATTAGTGTACTGTGTTTCATAATTTCAGTAATCATACCGAGTCCACATGCGCACGCACTCAACGGAATCGTCATATCCGGTAAAGTTGCATTGTGCTATTCAGAAGAATTGAACATTACGTCGCTATTTGTTTTTCCTTCGAGTGTTCAGGGAAGTTTAACACCGTGTCAACGTAATCATCACACACTACAAAACTAATGATTCTGATTTAACTTTACAGGTGCTGCCACACACAACACAACTCGGCAGATATTATTATTCGTCATCGTATCAGATGTTTTACTACTTTTTGATGTCAACTCATGATTCTCCGAGTCGCATAGCAACGCATCGCCTTTGAATGTGAACAATAATTCAGCAGAAATAATGATAATATTAGTAATTTTAATAATGTTAACTCTCCGATTATAATTCGACACATTCGTCGTTACTACTAAGATCACTCTGAATAAAAAGTATATGTTTTTTATATTAATTTCTTTTAGGGAGGGCAGTCTTAGTCATATACATTGCGTAAAGTATATTGCTCCAAATTATTTGGCCAAAACATCTTTTTTTTTATTACAGAAAATAATTCCCGTGAATCTTTGGACAGTCAATTTAAACAGACCTTGTCATTTATTAAATCTGATGCCGCATATTTCACTCTCCAAACATCGCTCTCTGAAGCCTATCAACATTACGCAACGTTGAGAAATCAGGTCGCCTACTAATGAAATTGACATAGCAAATATTGCTGAGAAACCGGGAATATCCGAGTAAGAACATGAATACATCACGTGATCAAAATAGCCGTTCTATTATCATGTTCGCTTTCAATATTAAAAAAAACCACCATTAATGCGTAGCTTAGTTTTAGCTTTATGTTTTTACATTTTCCCAATATTATCTTTACTAGAGTAAGTCTGTAATATTCAATTCCATTTTATGACCTTAATAGAAAATTTGATATCATTGATGTGCCCTCTAAGGGAAATTGTTTCGTGGTTTTGTAAATTGACTGCACAAACAAAAATGTCGTGGCCCCTAATTGCATTCGTTTTCACAATTATTTTATTAATGAAATGTGAATTTCATTTCACCGAATCAAAATTTCCATACGTGTTTTCGAAGATCAGTGAATTAGCATAATTAGTTGCGTCACGGTTTTTTTTTGTGCGTCAGTGGCGCATCATTTGGCCTTAGAGACAAACTGTTTTCCATCGTCAATATATGGTGGCGGCTTGGCGGCCAGTTTACCGAAATCAAATTAAAACGCCATAGACGCCATGCTCAATATGGGTTCCATGCGACCGTTTACCCTGAATAAAAGCGATATTTCTAAATAAATTGTCAATATATGCATCGAACTTTGAAGCACAGTTTTTCTTTTCTTATTGTATTTTATTCATATGTTTATCATGATTTTTCACTGATTATGTCACGTGTGTATTGGTGGTTAATCATGAGCTTTTTTAACAAAATGTACTTTGTTGTGTTCGTACCTGATTTCTTTCATTAATAAATGACTCGTAGACAATGTATATCTTGCATTCATTGATAAATTACGTGGTGAACAGCCTTTCCGATTGTGAAAAAAAATCGTGATACTTCTTTTCTTATGTTCACCCTTAATCGAAATAGAAAACAAGTAACTATTTTGTTGAAGTTGGTTCGCGGCGAAAATAAAGCCTCGTCACAAACACGAATTTTCGACATTTCGTCTCAACGCCTAAATACATGTAATTACTGTGGTACAAACGATATTCGTCTTATCTAGTGTGCACTCGAACAAATTGAAATTGTTATACAGGGAAAGAACAACTATATTCAACATATCTATAGTAGTTATTATGAGTGTTTTTTGTGTTACTCATTAATTTTCTGCTTAACAAGGAGAACAAAGAAAAACAAACTACAATTTAAAATATAAATCTAGTAAAAAATAACTGCCTCGCAAATATTACAAATGAAAAGAGGCGACAGGTAAAGTGACTTGAACCTGTGTAGGTTTTGGAACTTCACTTCGGCCTTCCTGCTATACATATTCATCGTCTTACTCAGGCTCGCATTAAAATATAAAAGAAAAAAAAAATCGTTTACGTCGCTGGTGGCGCTGTCACAAAACAAGAAGTTTGAATACCAGTTTTTTTGAACGAGCGTTTCATGCATTTCGTTTTTTAAATAGAATGATTCAATTTACGCTCACTTTAGAATAGATGAAGCGTTATTGAAATATGCCTGATTTTAGAATAACCGTGAAAAGGGCCAAGAAATTGGTGAAATAACTCATTCCACATGGACAACTCGACATATATTTGAGTGCATGAAACCGATTGTCGATGGGTAGTTTTCCTGACTTATTTTAAGGTCTGTTCCAATAACAGCATTTTCACAGCTATAAATTACTGATATTACTTATTGAGGTGTCAATAAACATATTTTATTTATACTGGGTTGGATTTGTGTGGTAGGTTCAGAAATTCGGCGAGCAACAAGGAAGTAGTTAGAATAATTTACCTGGCAAAGAATTATTTTAGTAAAACCAAAAATTGTTGAACTGAGGTCTCCCATCACCCGACTCTGGGTGATGGTTCTGGTGAGAGGTCTCGCATTTGATCTCCGATAATACACAGATCTGAGCGCGTCTATAATGCGTAGGCGTCCTATCAGAGTTACCGTTACTCATAAACATGAAATAAAACAAAAGGGCGGAATGTCATTTTGTCGAAGAGGGCGCACTTTAACAAGTACTGGCTGAACCATTCAGTTGAAGGCGGAATGTAAAAGCAACTGACGAGCAAATATATTTCAAGGGTATATATGTTGCCTAATTTCTTTTTATTTATTTTGTAACCTTATACAAACATGACACTCAAAAAACACAGAATTTCCCCACTCGTGGAACTCACCTGGATTGTAGCCGGGAACCTACCCGATCGGCTGGTTATTGACAATAGACTGGATGTTAATATTTTACTCATTAACTATCATGATGTACATGTATTACAGCGTAATGGAAATGGGCCATCGCGTTTCATCGCAGTGGCAACTATTGGTTGATATAACACGTACGTGTAGAAAACAAATATGACAACTGCCATCCGTTGTCATGAAAATTAGCATATTCAGATTAGCGGTTGACTGGAGTTATCAGCCAATGAACGTCACAATCACGCACTGACCATGGAGATAAACAATATGCTGTTATTCTAGACACAAGTGGAAAGTAAGTAGCCCGCGTGAGGGTAATTGTGTCCCCAGCCTACATGGCATGAGACCTACATCACATACATAAACATGGCAGCAGTATCATGCTGTGGTGATATTTTGTTTTGTTATACTGCTTACAATAATTTAATTGGCGTAACTATCTTTCTTATAAAACTGAACAAGCAGAACGACATCGAGTACTTACAAAACTACACGTTTGGAAGTGTGAGACTGTCAGTGTGCATTTATAGAATATTATGCCAGCGGATTTTAAATTTTTATTACTCATTGAAACATACTTTATGTGCGTTTATTTATCATAAATGTTCATCCTTTACGATCTACAAGAATTGTTATTTGGTTATCTTTCAAAATTAAAGCGAATTAAGTCTAACGTTATCCTCTTATTTAGATATACCGGTACCCCATCTGTTTTCAACGTGTACTTCCCAGTGCCCCTCAGGCTGATATCGGCACTAGTGGTTGCTGGAGGGGGAGGGGGTGTCTAAATGACAATACTGTTGTTAAACTTCTCTACAACGTGTTAGTCGTCGGTTCCTGTCTACTGATTGTAAGTTAATTTGAAAACCATTATTGAAGGTAAAGTCGGAGTAGAGCATGGAGCAAATTACATGAGATTGCGTAGTTTGAATAAATGTTCTTCTGAAGTGCAAAACATAGCATGGTTGAAAATCATACAATACAATTCAAGATTAAATGAATCAGGTTCATATCCTCTCCTCCCACTCACCCATCCCCGATGGCATCAGCGCAATTCGTAGAAACATTGTTAGCGGCAAACAACTAGGTCACAGTTGTAAATAAATACACAGCGTGATATCGCCAGGGGGCGCTAGCATGCATGATAAAGGTCACTTTGGTGTCAATGCTGCCCGAGTGAGGACATCTGCTAGCAACTGTGCGCAACGACTATTAGGTGAGTCTTTCAGTGTAATATGTGAATAATCAATTATCAATAAGCCCGACCACTGTGTACAATCCCGTGTTTCTCGAGGAAACTGCGTGTATGTCTGATCGTACCATGAACACTTCCCTATCGTTAGCCGGGGTCGTAATAGGTATTTAGTATATAATTTACAACAAAATGGCAGACTACCGGTACGACTGTGTACGTAAATTTAACAAGTCTAGTTGTGTGCAACGGCGTTATCAATAAACTGTATCGGTTACCTAACGTAGGGAACGGGCTTGATTCAGCCTAGTCAGAAATCCAGTGTCGCTTGATGTATACGGTGCAATAGTTAACGTTGTAATCCACAAGAATGCGAGTACATTTATAATGCCGTTCTCAGGGTCATTGTAAGGTCGTCGTTCATAGTGATTTGCTCCGTTGTACTATTGTACGCCCGTGGGTCTATTCAAACGTTCGATTTAAATGACGTTATATTAGAGCTGTACATGTAGTACTTTCTTCTTTAAATTACGTCAGTAAACAAAGTGGACTATGCCAAAATTGAGATCACACAGCACCAAGCAAACCATAGCAAAAAGAAATTTCCGACAAATTTATTCGATGCATCGCGTTTAATAGTACAAGTACGAGGTGGGGTAATATGAGAAATGCAGACTTCAATTTTAGTTGATTTAAAACATCGCACTATCGCACGTCTATTTAGGGTAGGGGCCAATGATTTCCAGAAAGCATCTGTTCTTAGTAGTACATTTCTGTCTACGTTTTGCTGACGTTTGAGCGGATCGTCAGTGAGTACTCGGGTTTCACCCAACATTGGCTGTATCTTAGCAGGTTTTTCAAGTCCAAGGTTGACCTACGCTGCTGCCACATATTAATGTTCATTGTGGATACGCATTGTTGGACAACGTTATTTTAATTGTAATTCTGAAGGAAAAGTTCTTTTTCCACCGCATCCTTAACCAGAACACTAACCCTCACCCCAACCCCCTCCAATTCAATTGTATACCACTATTGATTGGCATCAATGTCCGCGATAAAACACACAAACAAACAAACAAACAAACTTTCAAATAGTAAATAAATAAATAAATAAGTAAATAAATAAATAAACAGGAACATAATAAATAAATAAATAAATAAATAAATAAATAAATAAATAAATAAATAAATAAATAAATAAATAAATAAACAAATAAATAAATAAATAAATAAATAAATAAATAAATAAATAAATAAATAAATAAATAAATAAATTAACAGTGTACTTGTTCATTTTAGAATCAGACCAAACGACGCCTCGGCAAGATCAGTTTTACTATTTATAGATAGAGAACCAATAAAGCGATGAAACGGCTTAGAGATTATCGATTGCCTTTCTGCGCAGTCTAACATAGTGTCGATTCAATATGATGTTCTATCATTTATATGTGTAATTTATTGTCATTGTTTACTTAGTAAATATCAATCATCAGTAATTTTATGAATCTGAATAGTTAGGAAATTGTAGCTACCATGTGTTAGTTAATTAGTTATTATAGTATAAGATCACGTACATGTAATTAGTGAGATCGACGAATGTAGAAAATTTGAATGAAGATGTCAAAACAATTTTAACGCAGTTATTACCAGTGTGACACAGGTCTAAAATGGGAAACGTGTGGGTGGGCATTAAACAGGCACTTTTAGTTTTGAACTTGACTCCACCAGTACAAATCACATTAACTAAAACTATTAGGTGTCATTACCAATCAACACAGTAGATTTGGATGTAAGGACAATGACCCCAAGTTTCAGTTACACACGTATGATCTTTACCGGTGTGTGTGTGTGTGTGGGGGGGTCATAATACCGAATAACGTGTCACGATAGTATGCTGTGTCAAATCATGCCTAAGTTGTTCGAGATCTCATTTGTTTCTGTGACAATAAATTAATTAGTGCAGCTTACAATCTTTAGTATTTCTCTCTTCTGCATATAATATTCGAATACATAATAGCTAAACATACTAAAATACTCAGTGACCGCCATGATTCATTGCTGCCTTGTTTCATAAGTCTAACACGATGTCAGATAGTTCCTGACACGCCAATCAAGCTGATATTATGATTTTATCACTCGATTTCGCTAAATTACAGAGCTGATTGATGCTCGTGACGTAATGATCTGTCAACCCACCTTTGGTTTGTGATGGCTGTTATTAGGTGTTAACTATTGTGTCACATGACTATCCCGGCAAATGACAGATTAATCATGTGCCAATTTATGTTAATTTTATGTGTTGTATAGTATTCGCTATGACATAAATTATCATAATAATAATAATGCAGTAAACGCAGGACAGTCACGAAACTGCAAACACGTCTGATTAAATTAACGACAATAAAAACAACGCCACAATGATTTTATAATGGCCAACCTTTTACAAAATCAGTATGGCGTACTAACCAAGTAGCAAAGGTTAATCTCTTGGAAATATGTCACATACGAGCCGATATACTAGTATGGTGTCTATTTTCGAGCCAATTAGGTTAGATTTCTGGTAGTCGACCTAATGAATAATGGTGGGGGAGTGGGGGGTCATCAAACTATTTTGATTCAAAAATGTTTTTACAGCCTTAGCCATTAGTTCGATTTGGAAATCGTTCATATTACGTAGTCTGTGAGGATTCGCGCTACAAATCACGATTGAAAACTTTTTCATTAATTATCTTTACCCTACAATGGGGTAGTGTATCAAATATGAAAGTAGTATTCTAATTTCTTTTACTTTCCCCGCACACAGGTACAATGTCATCCAAACTGGTCGAAACTCAAGGCGAGATTGAGAAATACGATGATATACCAATTTTTGATCTTGGATTTTTTGTTAATATCTATGCGTACAACTTTCAGTATCTCTACAGTCCATCGAAGACAAAAAAATTATTTGAATCGTTCATATTTGAGAATGAGTCGGCCACTGAGTGCCACATCCCACGAGGTCAACTTTTTAACCTGAAGCACACTCAGCTACAGCCTATTGGTTCTGTCATTGAAATATTCTCTTTTCCCGAGACAGCAGGGTTCAGCAATTCTGGGGAGTTCGATTTTCAAATGATTTACGAAGGACTGACCATAGCAGAGGGGAAATCAGCAATGGCGTGCGATGTTGCCGAGGCGGAGGCGTGTCCCGGACGCCCGGGTCATGTGAAACTGGTTTTGAGGGAAGAGTCAACTGCCGAAAATTGGAAATCTGTGTCGACTAAAGTCGAAGATAGTCATTATCTCGTTCCGTCGGAAGTAGTTGATAATTTCCACAAGGCGCTTGAATGCAGGGCTCTTACTACCAATATGTCTGTTGTCAACTCATCATTACAGGCCAGTGATGAGAATGCCGAATATATTCACTTTTCTACCAGAAGAGATGGTCCCGGAGTTCAGACAACTGCTATGTCTAAGAAAGATCGTTACACCGTTTTTGACATTGGAATTGCTTTTCCTTGCTCAACATGGCCTTCAGCCGCCAGAGAATGGCTGACACGTCCCAGACCTGGTGGATGGCCTTCTCAGAAAGTTATCGATCACATAGTGAGGCGGAGATGCATGGTGGTCCCTGCACCATCAGTCGAAGGTTCTAAGTCACTTGAGTGGCAGCTTTCATTCAGTTTAGTCGAGCGTATCCTGGCTCGAGATTTGCTGAAAACACAAGCAGTGTGCTATATCCTTATCAAGCTTATTTACATCAACTACCTAAGACAACCGCATAAACCCGGCATCCGACCATACCATCTCAAGAACATCTTTTTACGCCTGCTTGAAAGAATTCCACTGAATACGTGGGATTACGTAAACATGGGCAGACGCACCATGGATCTCCTGCACGAACTGGACGAATGTCTAAGTAAGAGATTCTGCCCACACTACTTCATGCCTCAGGTCAACCTATTTCACGATCTCAGTGACGACATACTCGCAGAGACACAGACAAAGCTCAGGGAATTGGTACTCAAGCCAAAAGATGGTGTCATGTGGTACGGCGATCCAAACCTTTTACTACCAAGCCCACCAATCGCCAAGTTGGCATTCACCAAAATAATGACTGACGTCACCGTGAAAGCCAGGTCATCACTCATTTGCATGTCATCCTCAACAACTCCCGGTCTGACACTTGAGAATTATATTTCGAAGGTGAAAGGGATTCTGGGGGATGTCTGCAAAGAAGTTGAATGTGACTTGAATGATAAAGACGTGGAGTTATCTGACTTTCAAAAAGGTTAGTTAAAATTGTACATTGAATTTCAGTTTCCTTCTTTGTTTCGCCCAAGTGACAGTTTCTGTTAAAAGAACATAAAAATATATAACGAAAATTTGTTCAAAATATAACAGAAAAAAACATATCCAATGATGCCGTTTGAGTATCAAACATTTCTATGAATTCTTGATATCAGGTGATAATATTTGATCACATGACTAACTCTGAGTGCCACAAAACAATAGAGAAACAGTAATTTTACGAAACTATATTTTAGGATTCGTATTCTAATCTATGTAAATAAAGCATATCGTAAGCGCGATAGTAGAATCGCATTTATAGATGGATCGCAGACGGTTATTGAGATTTAGCATAAATATTACTCGATATCGCTTTAAAATAAATTTTTGTCAATGTATCGTGTCAAACGGTACTACATCACGATTAGCATACTGTCTGAACACACATAAAACGGTGACGTTTAGTGAACATTGTGACGTTGACCGTACCATACAAAACTGTGAAAGATATGCACTGTATGTTAGTTGTGACACGCGCCATAATCACGTGATACGTCATACTCCTACTATATAATCTATGCTTTACTCTCTTTACAGCTAAAAACGACATGTTTAACAACGTTTACCCTAAAGAAGTAAAAAAATTTGCAGATTTCATGGTTGGAAAAGAAACGACTAAGAAAGCTGGAGAGGGCGATAATGTCTGGTTAACTTCTGTCATGTTGGCAGCAAGCAAATGCCTAGATGACTTACTGTACTTTATCAAACCGCTGAAAGCCTAGGAATTGTACTACGTGATTTCTACATGTGCACAAAACCATGATTCTTAACAAATTGTAACACACAAAGTAATTTGTCCTGCTTTTATACTTTTATATTTTTTCTTTTTTGCTTTCTGTTATGGACATGTTATATCTCATGTTTACTGTATACAAAACGGTTGGATAAACATGTAGAGGGTTTAGACGAATCATGATTTTTTTTCATATTCGGCAATATTTTGCTAGCACTCATTTAAAAAAACTCGAATGATAGTACATGTGTAATATTAGTTAATTTTAAAATATATGCCTGTGTCGCCTTTGCTGCACGTAGCGCCCGCTAGCATTAGAAGTGATTTTGTGACTTAAAATTACGTAGATATGTAAAACCGCTGTCATGTGTTTGGTTGTGTAGTCACTCAACATTTAGTCTAGCGGTAGTCTAAACACTATTGCTATGGATATTCGACGACTTGTCAAAACTGAGTACTTCCTTCGTTTTACGCATTTAGGTAGTAGATGCTCATTGTCGGTTGAGGGCGCTACTAGTAAATAAACATTGTACACTCGTGTTCGTTCGTGTAACATAGCAGTTAGTATTCTTCACACGTTGGCAAAGCACGCGATCATGCGCGTCTCAGTTTTGTTATGCAAATCAGAATGTACGTAAAGTAGCAATTACTCTATATACAATTACAGCAATAGGACACAGCTTGAAGGTCGATCGGCGAATGATAACCAAATATTTTGTTCTTTATACATTAATCGTCACAACATAAACTGAAATAATGTTTTACAGTATATGATATAAATACTTTTAACTAAATCATTGTACATATTTTCAGTAGAAATGTACGTCTTGTATATTACACAGTAATTTTCTGTTTGGATCAGTGCGCCCTCTAAGTCGATATGATGCGCAACTGACAACATAGATTTGCAGTGACGTAACTAGTTGTGTTAAATCATTGGCGTTGGTGTAAAACAGAATTGCATTTTATAAACAATATAAGTGTAAAGTCAAATGCCACGATATTTAAAGACCTCGCACCCAGCAGTCAACAAGCTGACCCAATTCGATATTAGGGGTGAGTAATTTATGCTAGAGGGCGTATATCTCGTGCATGAGCCCAACATTTGGTCTAAAGTATCGCAATGTGAAGGCGATTATTGGAATTAGCTGCATGTGAGTGTACATTTGTAGGCATTTGTCAATTTTACTCTGTTGTAGGATATTAATAACAATATGTGTGTGTAATTACAAATACTACCTTGATCAGTGGTATTACTCAAGTATTGCTTTGCATTTACGGCAAACAGTAAACTTTTCTTGCAATACGATTATGGGGGCAGAAATGTATACAATAAGAAATTTATAGAAAGACTAATTTGAAAATGTCGTTATATTAATATATATGTATATATCATAGAATACCCATATATGTAATTTACATTAATTTAAATAATATGATAATTAATAAACTAATACATTAATTGTGTGACTACAATGTTTGTTAATGATGTATAGTTATGGTGGCATTCTCTCTTTAAGTTTACATAACGTGGGCATAAGCTTTAGAACAATATTTAAAAAAGATCCACCCTAACTTGTTTAGATTTGCAATTCTTTGACGCTGAGGGCGTATAGGTACTTCTGAGTCTTATTTTTGAAGCGTTTGGTCACATGTGACGCTTGATTATTTGAGGAAATGTAAAAATGAAATGTTACTGTCTGCACGGGTCAATGCAGTGTTTGAAATTACTCCAAAAATGCTACAACTAGAGATTAATTTGAAGTACATCCGTTCTCATTCCAAGTATCAAATCACCACCAAAACTCAACATTCTGTTGACTAACAATTATAATTCTAATGTCTTAATTTAAATTTATTTAACTTCAAACACTGATCTATTTCATTCAGGGTGAATCTTGACAATAATGCAAGGAAGGAAATTTACTTAACCATTACGTTTCCTCAATCACATTCCACTTCATGAATTAAAGGTATGATGGTATTGTTACTCTCTTACAAAACTTTTGGAAAAACGTAATCAATAGAGACAGCATCGGCAGCTATATGTACTGAATTTTCATTTTCAACGGCTTCCATCTTGCATATATAACCCACCTGCTACGATTTCGATGTGTATATTTCATGACAACAATTACACACGTGTAAAGCATATATGGATTTCGCGGTACACGTGCTCGAATTTTGTACCATAATTTGAAAATAGGAGCGTGGTTTCATTTCCCACTATTTATTGCCAAGTTTTTTTTTTTACAAAACACATCTCAAAAATATTCTTAAATGTATGAACAATTCCCAAACTAATACTTGTGGCGGTGAAGATGAAGAAATCATACTCGACTGGATAGATAGTTCTTCCCACGATATTGCCGCGGCTCGTGTTGAATCATACTTATGTCAAAAGAAACCACATAGCACGGCGTTATCTTATATTAATCACATAACACCAGTTATAAATCATTTATGCAAATATAAAATAAATAAATGAATTGTAAGTGCAAACAGACATATTTTACAACATGTAATCTGAACTCTTGATCACGACAATCGGCTTTACAATTTAGTTTACATATAGATGTGAACAGATACACGATGCAAGGACTCGAATGTTAGCATTATATGGTACAGAATCATTTTATTTAACTAGGATGATGATGTCTTTGATCTGAAAGTTACAGTGAAACTCCCCATCAATTTTAAATGTAACCTTTCTCTAGTGACAAGAAAGAGGAATCAAAACAGGTCTCTGACTAAGGTAAGTTGTGAACGAATGTGGAAATTTAGTGACACAGGGACATCTATGCTCGGGAACCCCTGGTAAACAAATGCGTACTTATTATAGTATACACTATAGCATTTCCTTTTTGTTCACTTAGTGAGTGGTATTCTGAACGACAACGTTCTTAATTACTCGAGGGACGTCCTCATTTCCTTTATTTTTTGGTAATTGACAGTTTCTGAGCGTCACATGTATGGCAAATTTGCGTCACGGCGATTCTAAATCAAAGTAGTATTCCGTGCGATGGATTGTTAATGAACAATGTTTATTAATTTATTTAAAGACGGCTTGTATACATTACATAGAAGAACAATACAATGTATAAACATTTCAAATCACCAGGATTTCTTTGAGAAATGTAACTCTACGAACAGCAAGCATCATCTACAGATTATGATTGGTAAGTCGTTGTCATTCTTGACTTAGAGTTTGTATTAGACCTCTATTTCTGTACATTGATGCTTCATTACTATGTAGCGGCTTCCGTTGCATTATCTGCTAATACTGAATTTGATCTATTTTTACCAAAAATAGTGCATATACGATGGATTTCAATAGCCCACTTTCGAGATAAAAGGCCACTGGCGGCGCTACGCTACCACGTGACCAAGCATTTTCTCACGGTGGGGCCATATTGAAGTCAGAAGAGCCTGTGTATGTATTTACGTCACGACCTCGTCAATCTATCCAACGCTAAAGGTATCAGAACAGAACAAGACAACGCAACATGCACTGACACCACTTCGTAAGTTCAAAACGTCACCTCAGTCTGTGACAGTAATTATTGAACATAAAATCGCCGAAAAACAGACAAAAAACATCGTCACCAGTGTTAATATAAAACAAAACAATATAAATGTAAAAGATGACAAATTTGAAGAAATAATAATGAACGATGACATACAGTACTCATTTCGCCCAACCTTCCGCTTTTACCGCTTTTAACTCGCAAGTTTCATGGATTCGAATAAAATAAAGCTAGCGATTTCTAAGAATGGTTATTAATATTTTCCCCGATGCTCTTCAAATTTTTATTTTTTTATTTCAAGGTCTTCAATGCGGCTGTTTCACCGCGAACAACTCTAGCTCTGTTGTTGTTTCGCGGTGTGAAATAAAATATATATTATAATAATAATACGAAAGACGAGATTTTTCTAGATATTTACAAACATATGTAAAATTAACAAATACACAAAGAGGTGTATTATTAGGTTTTATGATAGATTCAGTCCGTGCATCCTGATGGAACTCAGGCTGTCATTTAGCTTCATCATGGTCCTTATACAAATCCTAAACACATTGCGGAGACTCAACAATCAGGAAAGAGAACCCAGACAACCATGTCGTACTTGTGTTGAAATACATTTGTATTTCACGTCAGAATATTGTTTAAAATAAAATATTCAATCCCAGCCAAATCAAGGTCAAAAGGTCAGATTGCGTGCCTATAATTATAGATAGTTAAAAAAAAAATATTTGAACTTTTGTCGGCTGTTCAACATCTATAAAAACCAGAAAGAAAATTATAAGACAATGTAAACCTCGGAAATTGTTAGTTCGAATTTTAAATGCGAGCGAGCGGGCGGTGATATTTCCGGGTTTGCGCGGTCAAAAATATAGCGAAAATTGTCCGGTCGAATTCAACAAGCGGTCGCAAAAGCGAGCGAAAAAAAAGCGATTGGAAAGCGGAAGCGGGCGGGGGGGGGGGTTGGGCGAAATGAATACTGTACGTTGGATAGATTGACGAGGTCGTAACGTAAATACATTCACAGGTGAGGCTGACTTCTTTATAGCCCCACCGTAAGAATGTTCTAGTCACGTGATAGGATGGCGTCACCAGCGGCCGTTTATCTCGAAAGTCGGCTATTCACTGCGGCTAGAGCCACCGACCGAATTTATTCAATACATTGTTATATTGGATGAACCGTAGCGAACATGTCATATACACTGTAATATTAATGTAACACTTTTCATGAATACATTTACAATGATTAATGTAGTATTAGTGTAGGCGGTAATGTCTCTTCTAGAAATGTACACAAACGTGTCATGGAATTATGTTTAAGTTTGTGGGTCTGGTATGGTTAACGCAAACGGTAAATACCAAATAGGCGGCAATGTATTCTCTCGAAATATACACAAACGTGTCATGGAATTATGTTTAAGGTCGTGGGTCTGGTACGATTAACGCAAATGGCAAACACCAAATAGGCGGTAATGTCTCTTTTCGAAATGTACACGAACGTGTCCTGGAATTATGTTTAAGGTCTTGGGTCTGGTATGGTAAACGCGAACGGCAAACACCAAATAGGCGGCATTTTCTCCTTTCGAAATGTACAGCAACATATCCCGGAGTTATGTATAAGGTCGTGGGTCTGGTATGGTTAACGCAA